CAGATCTAGATCTAGATGTAGGATAGCTGTGAAGTAACTATAAGCCTAGGCTGGGATATAATTTATGATGACACAAATTGTGGGCCTCCCTCCTACGGGTTTCTATTGATGGTGAAATACCGCTGCCCCTAAAATAGATTTCCCATACGTGCTAAGCTGTCGCTGGGCTATCGTGCGTGTATTGAATTGGAGCAGATCGAGTAGCCTATCATGCATATAATATAAACACTCTGTCTGTATTCAAATGCAGATCTACGCATTCTGAGGCACCTCAACACTGACTGACAGTCGCTCAAACTCAAAGAAACCACAGCTGGGGCAGTGAGGCCTACTAAAACGTAAGCATAGATATCTAGATATAATAAATAATAATAATAATAATATTATAAAATTAATATCTGAAGATATTCTAGTAGATAGGCCAATCTAGATCTATACTAGATCTAGATCTAGATCTAGATTCTATATATAGTATAGTCGTAGAGGACTGCAAGCCGCAAGGATCACGGCTAATCCAAACATATCAAACTCAAACAAAAATGCACTTTTTAAGTCTTTTATTATTTTTATTAAGTAGCCCTATAATCTATAGTTGGTTATCGAAGGTCTCCGCGACTTAATTATATATTTAGTCTAATGAATGATCAGCGATCAATTACATGGAGACTCAATAGAGACCAAAAATGGAGGGGGTCCGGTATATAAATATATATATATATATAGCTATTATTATTATATATGGCTGGCTGTCTCACCTGACGGCAGAGGCCTATCTAATCGTACTTGATATGGTTGTTGCTGATAGGCCTACTGATACTGTGATATTTGATATCGACTGTCTTCACTTCTCCGTCTGCTTTATAGAAGAATTCGTTTTTCTTTCTTATGTTTAAATTATCTTTTAAAAAAGCATTCTGGTTATTGAGAGATGTTGTCAACCTACGATTTTGAAGGTAGGCCTAGCCTGTTCTGCCATAAGCTGACAAACGCCCTTTTTTCATTTTGGCACCAACATTTTTTATTTTTGCTAAATCGAAAGCCTATTCAGTTAAGCCTACCTAACTTGTGTGAAAAAATGAAAGTGAGAATGTGACTATAGTTTTTTGTTTTAATTTGAATTCAAATTTCGGAAGAACTCTATTTTTCAATGCTTATGCTGCATGCTGACAAAATACCTCTTTTTCACACAACTGCTGTGAATTAGAAAAAAGTGTTTTGTCCGTTTACGGCAGTTGAATCTCCCGTAGGTAGGTATATATATAATTATTAACTATATAGGTTTATAAACATATATATATATGTGCCTCTGCCTAAGATCCCGGTGCTTGGGAGCAAGGAAAATGTGGAATGTTAGACGAACGGGATCTAAGCCGACACACTAAGGGAAGAACCTACAGTGACTTATGTTAAGGCCCACAACCTGTAAAATAGTCTCCCTTCACTTTAAAATGAACTGATGTGAGCCCTGAGTTGGTTTATAATGACATGTGACGAGCAATAAAGAATGGCCTAACTTGATGACCAATTACAGTATGGCATGAGGCATGCCATTTTCACTTATTTTTCTATCGTGAGTCTCAAGATCTACACTTATAATCCAGTTGCCCCTCCCCTTTACATGTCTAAAATAGCGTTCCATCTCTGACTAAGTTCCCGCGCCTTTGTTTTGTCGTTCCACACTATTACGTTGTGACCACACCAATTTTTGTATTATATATTCGGCCAGTATATATTCTAATACAGTAACACTGTTGTTATAGTATGCTGACAGGTCATTGGCCTATTATTGATCCCAAAATGGGAGGGGAAAAAGGGGGGGAGTGTTCCATTCTGTATTACAATCTACTGGCCGAATATATAATATATTTTGAAATGAAAGTAATTTTAGAGCCTCAGTCAGATTGTGAGTAAACTTTGTTTTTGGCATTGTTGCCGTTGTTATGATGATAATGATAATAACAATAATAATAATTATTATTGTTATTATTATTATTATTATAATTCAATTGTATTTTGTATTCAATATTTTATTCTCCTTATTTTTCTTCACAGACCACTGTTCACTTACGATGGAGACATCAGATTTAATCATCGATGGTATTTTCCTGGGAGGAATAACGTCAGCCAAAAATGAGAAGGAACTACAAGCTAACAACATCACTCACATTCTCTCAGTAATGAGGAAGCCTTTGCCGGAGTCTGTGAGGCACAGTCGAGTCTGTATGAACATCAACGCAACTGATACGTACAAATGTGACCTTCTACAGTGGTTCCCAGACGGCTTAACCTTCATTGACAAGGCCCGGAAGAATGGAGGGATTGTATTGGTTCACTGGTCCGTTGTTAAACAGTAGCAGGCTACTTTTGTGATACGTTTTTTCTTTGTTTATTCTTCCTTTAAAAAAATTGTAAAAATAATTGTAGATATGTTTTTACGTCCCCATCAACACAATTTAGATCTTTTAAAATCTATATAGATCTAGTAGCCTATACTATTGTTTAGTACTGAAAACTTTTGTTCCAATATTGTATTGCTCCTACGTTTAAGGTAAAAGTACATGATCCATAAATGGAACATGGGTGGTTGGCGGGTGCTCTGGTGTGGTTTGCTCCTTCTTTCCTATCAAACATCTATCGTCCTTATCTCCCCTTCTTCTTTTTTATGTTTGTTACTCTCTTGTAACACCTCTAATCTTCTGGCGCTCATATGACCTTATGCAGTTGCGAGCATCGTAAAACCTCTACTAAAACAAACAATAAATGGAACACTATCTATGCAGGAATGGGTTAAACAATTCGTACAAGAAAATGTTAGGGTCAGTATAAAACAAAGAAAGGATTAATGTTCTTCATTTTGTAATGTTTTTTGCTGTCTGTTATAGTATTGAATATGGAGGCTAAGATTTCATGAATAATGCTTTCTCTCTTATCTTGAGACTGGTTCTCTATTGGCTGAGATATTCTGCTCTCAGTTACCAGGTTCTCAAGTTAATTTAATCTTAGTTCAGATCACATTCTTTCCTAATGCCATCTTTGTGTTTTGGAACAGGCCATCCTTTGTTTCAACCTTTAGAAAATGGTGTATCACAAATATTGGTCTGTGTCGCAAGCATCCACTTAAGTCCGCTTGGGTATTTTATCTGTCAGAGACAAAAAAAAACTAGTTCTCTTTGTGTTGTTCCTATTAGAAATCATGAAAAGCAAAACAATTACAAGCCTTGACCATAGCATTAAACTGCATTTTGGTGGTGTTGAAAGGTGCATCTTTGATAAAGCTTTGAGAGGAGGGGAAAATAATAAGTTCTCAAAATTTGGACTTACTGGATTATTTGCGACAGCGAAGACATATGTGTATGCTCTGTGAAGTTTGATTACTTTCAAAACTACTCTAAAGCATCCTAGGTCTGTCTGGAAATATTTCGATAGTATCATGAAGCATATGTGAGGCGGTGTGGTGGAATCAGGCGCTCGTCAATTTTTGGGCATGTAGAGTTATTGGTATCATCTTAAAGCTTGTTCACTTGTCTTTATTTGGATGAAAAAAATATCCATTTATCTTGAATACAAGTCGAGATATTTGCAAAAGGAGGTGGGGGTCACCTGTTTTCAAAAGTAAAATTAGTGAGATAATGACCGCCAAAGATTATTTATTTACTTAGCTTAACAGTGCGGGTTGCAGAAAATTTACATTTTTTGTGCCTTTAATTGTTTTTCAGAAAAATTTACACAGGAATGAGTTCTTTAATGAGCATCAAAGGTGTTGAGCCTAAAAACAAAAATTCGATAAAAAATCACAAACCTGGGTAAAAATGCAAGTTTCTTAACTTTGCTTATTTTGACAAGAGCCTGATTCCGCCACGTTACCTCACATATTATATTGTATTAATCTGTAGTGTGGGAAAAATACTAACTCACTGTTCATCTTTTGAAGGGATATTTCACTCTCTTGTTTGGTCTTCAATAACAGATTCATATTTTCTATTTCCAGCCAAGCTGGGCGGTCTCGCAGTGCCACTATTGTCATCGCATACCTCATGTACAAGCTTAACCTGAGCTTCAAAGAGGCCAGAGACAAAGTGAGGGAGTGTCGGCCAGTCATCAGGTTTGTTTCTTATCATTAGGCTTTGCAAAATATAAACTCTTACACATCACAGGCTTATTCTCGCTTTTGTAGCCTCAAGTTTTGTTGAAAATAAAAACACACTAGCATTTTCATCATCTTTATAAACGTAGTTTTCCAGCTAAGAGCATGTATTTTCCATTAAAATTGTTGCTCAGAAAAGAATGAAGATTTGACATATTGTTGTGTCTTTGGACCAGTGGTTATCAGATTCGTAACCATTAAAGGTCGTAGGCTCAAATCTTTTTGGGGCCAGTTGTGTGTCCTTTGGAAAGGCTCTTTTCTTGAATTTTCTCCACTTCACCCAAGTGGGAATGAGTATGTGTACCCTGCTATAGACAGCGAAAGACCTTGTCAGTTGTTACTGTTTGAGTGTGTGTAATCTGTAGCTTGAATTGTATGCTTTCCCATAAGCCAAGAATGTTTCTGAGTGTTTTTATAGTTTGCTGGGGTAATAAGATCTTTGTAAAGCACATAGAGCTTGCTGTAGAGGTTGATATATACACTGTATAAATGCAATTATTTATAATCAGATTATTGTTATTTTTGTTATTATTATTATTATAAATATTTTAATATACAGTTGTAGTACAGGCTAACAGATATTTATGACAAATGAGTAGAATGAAACAAAAAAATGTAACCAAGCATTTTTTTTACTTTCTTGGTCTCTTCTGAAGAGTATTGCTCAGGAATTGCGTGTGTGTCACTTGTAATGAAAGTGGAAAATCTGTATGAAAAACTGAAATTTAGCATGACAATATTATTGATCTTCTTATACAGATATTTCAGTGTCATCCTGACCAGGACACATTTTGTGTTTAAAAAATGTTTGGTGTTGTACTTAACCCTTTTGGCTGGAGGTCACCCAGTTTTGTCACACCCTAGAGTAGTGTGGCCTTGTGAGCAAGAGAACTATAAAATAAAACCCTGCTCAGGGAAAAGGCTGTAAAAATATTAGTTGGAGTACAAGACCCTCATACTTTTACATCTTCTTGTTCAGAAATGGTTTCTACATATTAATATAAGTAGGTTAATTTGGGAGGGGGGGGGTGTGTGAAAGGTTTGTATAAGAATGATATATATATATATGTTGTGTGAAGTGTCACTTTTATCACCGCTTCCTAGTTCTTCATCTACTGAATTCATGATGGAATCGTAGAATGTTCTATCAAATTCAAAACTGCTGCTACAAATTTGTAAAAGCTGAAATATACACCATTTGCTAAAGGAAGAGGAAGTCCGTGAGTTCAATCTTCAAAACAGAAGATTTCCCTTCCTTTTTAGCTTCAAAATTCTGTGTTTTTAGCTCATGATTGGTACACCCCCCTCGATCGCCAGTATACCGGCGAGCTCCATCCGATGGGGTTCATTACGTTATCGCAGACATACCCACTATAAACATCCAAAAGGGTTAAACACGTCTGCTCATTACAGTAGTCTAATATAAACTGTGGGCCATGCACTTTTTAGAAAGAAGTGTCAGGAGTGTTAATGGGCTGTCTAAATTCTTTCTTGGTTTCTACGGTTTTATTTTTTGTTAATGTCACAAGTTATGGAATTAGGTGGAGTCTGTACTGCATAATATGCTTGTATGAAAACTAGTATTGTCCTGGTCATGTTGATTAAATTAATAAAATAATTTTTTTTTTCTTTTTCAATAAATTCCTCCTATTTTCCAGGCCAAACAAAGGCTTCAAGGAGCAGCTGTTGAGGTTTGAGTTCATGGGCTCTTCCATCAAGGCTGGGAGCTTTCTCTCCCAATCTGGTAAAACCAGAAAGCCAGGCACTAAACTGAAAGACTCTCCAGATTATGATGAAGGTTTGAAGAAATGTTTTTTTGTTACTCTTTCTTTTTGCCTTTGGTTGATGTGATTGTAATTTTTTGTGTGGGGCCTTTTCTTTTCTCCAGAGAATGATTTTGTATTTGGGAGCAGTTCTAGATCTAGAACATAAGCAGTTATTCTTAACTCCTTCTCTCAAACAAGCTTGCTCCCAGCTGCTTGCGGTCAGAACTGCTGCGCCGGTAATTAGCTGCTGGCAGCGGCTCAGACACATTCCTTTGATGACAACTTCGACGTCAAATTAATTTTCAGCAATTTCCTAAAATACGTCTCTTTATCAGGAGTTCATCCTTCAGATGAAGAACTATCAAATAGGTTCACTTGCTTTGATTTAATCACCAATTTAGTGACATATGTGTCACTTTTGAAAGATTTTGTACCAAAAGAGGCCCCGTGCATAGTGGGTTTACTCACGTCGGAGATAAAGAGTTAAACCCTGGGTAGTGCAAGAATGTCCTAAATGTGAGCCAGCGTGGAGGAATCAGGCTCTCGTCAAAATAATCCAAATGAAGAAACTTGCTGTTTTCTGCAGATTTGTGAATTTTTATGGAATTTTTTTTTTTGGCTCCACACCTTTCATGCCCATTAAAGAACTCGTTTCTGTGTGAATTTTTCTGAAAAACGTTGATTAAAGGCACAAAAAAGTAAATTTTCGGTTACCACGGACTCTTAAGCTAAGGAAATAATTAATCTATGGTGGCCATTTTCTCTCTAATTTTACCTCTGACAACAGGTGACCCATACCTCCTTCATTTGCAAATATCTCGACTTGTATTCAAGACAGATGTATACATTTTTCATCCAAATAAAGACAAGTGAACAAGCTTTAAAATGATACTGATTACTCTACATGCCCAAAAATTGACGAGAGCCTGATTCCACCTCGCTGTCTCACAAATGGTTTCAGTAAAATGTATGAGATAATTTTATAGACATATGAAAGTAATGCACCAAGGTTTGTCCATAATGTTAAACTTTGGCCTAGTAAGTGCTCCTGAGACTTTAAGCCATACTATTTATTATTTGAATTGAAAATGTCTAATATAATAATAATAATAATAGTAATATTAATAATAATAATAATGATAATGAAGATCATTTCTATTGTGCCCACTCCCGTGTAAACACAGCTCTAGGCGCTTTACATAAATGCATATACGAACAATATTCACGCACGCGACATACAAACGCGCACACACACTCATACACACAAACACAAACACACACACATACACACACACGAACACACGAACACACTCTCACGCACACATTTATAACACGCACACATGTGCACACACATGTACGTCAAACACCCCCCCCCCCCCCACACACACACACACGCACACACACACACATCTACTTGCTTATCACACGCGCACGCTTACACATCGTCACGAAATGAGCACATATATAATAAAATAATATACACAATGCAATTCACAAAATACATAAATGGACACCTAGTCATTTACATAACATTGTACTGAACATGAATCTAGTAACATAAAAATTATGTCATTAAATGTGTCTTTAAAGATTAAAAAAATTTAGACTCAGATGTTGTATGTCTCGAGGGTTGGGGAAAAGAGTTCCAAACTGATGGAGCGTATAAGCGAAGCACTTGTTTTGTTTTATTCCATGAGCTTCAGGTTTTTCCATTGTTTTTCTTTGTAAACTTCAGAATCCGAGGAAGAATATGATGAGGATGATGATTTTGTCGAGGAAGCCACAGGGAGACTGACAGACGCACAAGAGGAGAATGGTTCCGTATTTCGGTGCAAAAAGTGCAGGTATAGTTTTTTCTAAATTTCTATAACTGCTGTGCCAAAGAGCTGCATGCTGGCTGCGGCTTGAGCACCTTCTTTTATGATGACTTCCAAGTCAAAAAATTATTTGTCTGGTTATTTCGTTAGACACGCTGAAGTTGGCAATGCTAAATTGTTATTTTTTTCGGACTCGCCTGAATGAAAAAAAATCAATTTTAAAAAACGGCCTCAACAAAATTTGTCGAACTTTTGGAACATAAATGACACAGCATTGGTGCAGATACTCAGAAAAGATGGTATCTGCGCACATAAGAGAAAGCTGTAACTTTACAACTTCATCCATCGGGCACACAATTCGCTATGAAGTAATTCCTCCAAACTTGAAAGTTGATTAAAGTTACCATGAAGTTTCTCTATGAAAAGTTCAAATCGATTTAAGTAATACATGAACAGTATCTGTTACATTCCAGAAATTCCTTACTTTTCTTAAAACGCTAAGTCTAGGTTTTGTAAGTTGACTGAATAATAGGGATGACTTCTCGTAATTGGGTTATAAGAATAATTTCTAGCTTTCCAGGGACACTGAATCAGCACCAGACTTTTCCAGCTTTATTTTTCGTTTCTATGACCATTGCAGTAACTGACAAAGTAACCGATTTCTTTACATTCATAATTATGTTCGTGCATATTTTCGACATAAAAACTAAGAATGAATGTGCTTGCTGTCATTATTTTTATTCCATACAAGAAGTTTATCTCTACCCATGTATTTACACGATTTTATGGGTTTTTTTAGTTGCTTATATTATATCTTTTTAGTTGTATGCAGGCTGCCACAGACACAGCAGGATTCATGAACAAATGCAGAGTAACTTTCTCTTGTTTAATAGTAAAATAAGAGCTAACGCTGATCGTCTTTAGTTTAAAAATGCAGATGTGCATCTTTCTTCTCTTATAACTTGACTATTACTACTCGCACAGATTTAAGATTTCTCATGGTAAAAGACATGATATTCGTAGTCAGTTTAACACAGATTTTGGAGAGGTCTGTCGTGCCTTTTTAAAATTAACAATCATTTATTCATAAGTTTGTAACGAAAATAGGACAAATTGGGTACTCTACAAACACTTGTCTAAAACAAAAACTAAGGCACAGAAATTAACCATTCTAACACAGAATAAATCTCAAGACCTTGGGCTTTTAGTACATCCGCGTAATGGTTTGATGTGTGGGATGGGGAAGAAGTTATATTGTTTTAAACATAGCCAAAAATGTGAACTTGCTAACCGACACCGGCAAAGTCGCTTCGGGGCTCATTAACCCCATGACCCTGAGCCGGGGAGCTCCGACAGGCTGCCGAGTCACGCGAACTAAAAGTAACAGAATCCGGTGAAAAGTGACGCTGTGCCCAATAACATTGACATGGTATCAATGTTCAGAAATACATGTGTCTTCCCAGACAACATGACTTGCTCAGCTGACTGTGTCTTCTTACAAAGTAGAGAAAAGACGCTTGAATGCATAACCCCTTGTTGACTTTTCAGATGATGTAAGCATTTTTGTTCTAATTTCAGAATGGTACTATTTCATGAAAGTTATTTAACTTCTCACCTCTCGGGAGACCATGAGAGACACAAAAATTCAGCCAGTCACAAGCAAAAGGTACCCAGTGAAGTGCGTAAGATGAACTGCGAACGAGCCATATTTGTGGAGTGTTTGCCCTGGATGGAGGGAGATGCCAGTTCTGACTCTGGAGAGGTATGGTGTCTTCAAATCAAGACTCTCTTGTTTGTGAGGCAGCCTGGTGGAATCAGGCTCTCGTCAAAATAATCAAAGTGAAGAAACTTGCATTTTTCCGCAGGTTTAGGAATTTTTATCAAATTTTTTGTGTTTTGGCTCAACACCTTTTGTCCATTTACAAACACATTCCTTTTGAGGATTTCACCGAAAACGTTGATTAAAGGCACAAAAATATAAATTTTACAATTTCCATGGACTTTGGAATTTACCATGAAGTTTTGGCGGCCATTTTCTCGCTAATTTTACCTCTTAAACCAGGTGACCCCCACCTCCTTCGATCCAAAATATCTCCACTTCTATTGAAGATGGATGGGTAATTTTTTCATTGAAAGCAAGACAAATGAACAAGCTTCAAGATGATACCAATAACTCAATATGCCCAAAAATTGAAGAGAGCCTGATTCCACCACACTGCCTCACATTTGTTATGCTATTTCCCATAAGCAGATTAATAAAGAAGTTTTAGAATGATTTTAGTTTAGCTGCGTTTTTAGCTAAGAGAAGGTTGCTCAAATTGTGATGATTGTAAATAGAGTTTTGAATGCCACACTTGCTGCAAATATCACTTTTCGAAAGTTTTTTTTCTCATCTACTTCTTTTAGTAACTGCAATTTTAGCTGACTCTACCATATACTTCATTTTGAAAGCAAGTTGATTTTCTGTGTTTTCTGCCTCAATTGTCTGTCTAGAATTTTGACTTGTACATGCCCAGATTTTTGGGTGATTTAAAATTTCATCCTAAAGAATGCTCTGCAAAGGCATACATACTACATTTATTAATACATGTATATGTTTATGTATCTGTTTATATATTTATATTTTTTAATATGTATATGTTTATGTATCTGTCTATATATTTATATTTTTTTATATGTATATGTATATTTTATGACCCATTCTCACAAGGCCAGTTTAAAATTGGTTCGACTCAAGAACTTTTTTCACTTGCGTATAATACAAATTTTTTTTTTTTTTTTAACTAAGGTAAAAATATTCCCATCCCCTTATTATACACCTGACATTCAGTTAGGATCAGGCCCAACAAAAGAGAAGTAATGCCGAAAACTTCTAATTTATTTCTAATGTGTTTATTACAAATCATCATGGTGTTTGGCTTTGCTTACCTGCCGTATGAGTCTCACAGATCAAATCAATCTCAATCCAACTACCAATAGTTGTTACAGGTAAGACACAATAATATTTGTTGATGCCTGGCTTCACTTGATTTTAAACATGTTGAGCCCTCCTGTCAGAATGATAGTGTTTTAGAGCCTGTAAAAGCTGAGATTGTTTCAGAATGCTGTCAGGTCGGCTGGGGTAATAATATTGATTAGAAAGCGCCTAGAAAGCGCCTAGAGCTTGCTGTTGATCGGGAATTTGAGTGGGAATTGCCGGAATATCCGCCATATTCTCCTGACCTGGCCACATGTGATTTCCACCTGATCCCCAATTTGAAAGAACACCTTCGTGGACTCCGATTTCACAGTGAGAGGAGGACATTATTCAAGTAACAAAAGAGGCAAATAAGTGCCTGGATAAATGCACTTACGACAGTGCGTTTAACGGCTGGCTACAGCGTATGCACAAGTGCATTGACAGCGTTGGACGCTATATTGAATAGAGCAGATAAAAAGGTGCATTGTGCCAGATTTCATCAATCTAGGTCTTTTGGTTTTTGTTTTATAAAGGAGGGTAACTTATTTGTGAGGCTGCGTGGTGGAATCAGGCTCTCGTAAATTTTTGGGCATGTAGAGTTATTGGTACCATCTTAAAGCTTGTTCACTTGTCTTTATTTGGATGAAAAAAATATCCATTTATCTTTAATACAAGTCGAGATATTTGCGAAAGAAGGAGGTGGGGGTCACCAGTTTTCAAAAGTAAAATTAGTGAGAAAATGACCGCCAAAGATTAGTTATTTTACTTAGTTTAACAGTGCGTGGTAACAGACAATTTACATTTTTTTTGCCTTTAATCAGCGTTTTTCAGAAAAATTCACACAGAATGAGTTCTTTAATGGGCATGAAAGGTGTTGAGCCAAAAAACGAAAATTCGATAAAAAAATCACAAACCTGCGGGAAAAATGCAAGTTGTATCACTTTAATTATTTTGACGAGAGCCTGATTCCACCACGCTGCCTCACATTTATGAAATGGAGTAGTAGGGCTTGCTGTTGAGCGCGAAATGCCACTATACAGATTGATTGTGATATCTCTTATTATGTATTATTACAACTGTTTGCTTTTGTTTTCTCTTCTTTTCCAGATCCATTGTCCAAAGTGCCGTGCTGTCATTGGTTCATATGTTTGGCATGGTATGTGAAGCAGAATAAATACTCCCCTCTCTTTTTTCATGTTATTTAGAGATATAAAGTCTTTCTTTTAAATTTAGATTTTCAAAATCCAGGGACACAGAGTTAGAGACAGAAAAAAAACCCAAAACAGATGTAAAAAAATGAAGTCAAAAGAGTGGTTGAACAGAAACTGGCAAATGCATGTGCATGTGTTCGCGCATACACACACACACACACACACACACACACACACACACACACACACACACACACTCTCTCTCTCTCACACACACATAGACTCAAAAAGTGAGACAGAGAAATGAATCTGACCCATGTTTGTGATGAAATGGTCAGGTTTCTTTGACATTGTAGGCAGAAGATATGTGATGTGTGCTAACAAAATGACTTTCTTCTCACACTCGGTGAATGGAGATATTGACCAAAATTTGATATAAATAGGGGTTGAATTTGTAGATTTTGTGCTGATGCCATTCTCCTCAAGTTTAATTTGTCTTTTACCATAAGGCACTAATAAATTGTAAAAACTCAACCTATGATTTTGACACTTTGTCTATTTCCATGGGACTAAAATCTAAGAAATAATTCAATTTGCCAGCATGCCTTTTACATGCATGCTGGCAAATTAAATTATTTCTTAGATTTTAGTCCCATGTCTGTTTGATTCCCACTTGGAAAAATTATATTGTCGAATGTCTCAATTTTTCTTCTTGGATGCCACTCAGCCCTGACAAAGCAAGTTGAAGAACATCATGCCTCCTAAATGATCTAAATTGTGTGAAAAAGGACTTAACTTAAACATCTACTTTCAAATCAATCTCCCTTTTTTGTGCTTGTTTCAGGAGAGAAATGTCCGTGCGGTGCTTGGGTAGCCCCAGCTTTTCGGGTCAACAATCAAAAAGTGGAGAATATTGCATCTCATCAAGCACTTGCTCAAATGAACAAAGTGGAATGTTCGGATTTACCCTCCGATCTCACAGAATCTGGGGCATGTGGTGTCCGTGTTGAGGATGTGGAGAACTGCACAGGCGGACTCGGTGTCTTGAGTTTGAACGACTCGAGAAAACAAACAGATCACGGGTCTCCTTGATTTGACTGACTGGTTACATTTGAAATTGTGAAGAATATTGACATTATATATATATGACTACAACAAAACGAAATGACTATATCAACCACCTACAGAGAAAGAAACAGACCACGATCTTCCGCCTACGAACAGAACATATACAGCTCAACATTCATTTGAACAGAATAAAACCAGAACTTCCCCCAATGTGTCCGTTGTGTGACTATGCATATATGAGACAGTGGAACATCACCTTTTCCACTGTACAGCCCTAAATGACATCAGAGCTACACTTCTCCCTCCGAGACCTAACTTCGACCACACACTCTACGGAACATTACAGCAACTGCAGCAAACCTGCACTTATCACTACATGGCATTGGACAGAAGGGCGAGAGCCCAGATTTTGCTGGATCGATAACAACAACGACATTAAATATCTGATCTGCTTGTTCGCTTTTCCAGCTTACGAGTCCATGGATTATATTATGTTGTTGTCTTTGTTTTTAGGGATCCAGTAGTATCTGAGTGTTACCTCTTCTACTTGATGCCATTCTGTAATAGCTGCCTGTCTGTTCTAATTGTTGTCTTGAGGAGGAGTAGAGGCAATTAGTTGTGTGGTGTAGCTTGGGAAGAAAACATCCCCTTAAATCAGTTAGTTTTCTACAGAAGAACAGATGATGTGTTGTGTTTGTTGGGTTCCTTAGATTATTGTTGGATTCATAACAAGATGTGAGACAAACATCGGGATAACGGTAAGGAACATTGAGGCAGCCATCTTGGTAACCCAGAATGCAATAGTTTATTTCTTTAGAATTGATGACAACATCATATCCGGATCGTTACCGATTACTATAATTATCGAATATTACATGATGTTCCACTGTATCGGAGGGGTAGTCACATAGTGGGCAGGCAGCAGACTGCTTTACTCCAATTTGGTTGAGATATTGGTTGAGGGTTACGTGTTGTGTTCTAAATTGGAAGATTATGGATTGATCTCCCCTCTTCAACTCATTGATTGGATCTTTGACCTGTGGTTTATTCATGTGGCCATACATCTTCCTTCCTGTCGAACCTGTTGCCCAATCGTTCATCCAGTCTTCCTTGAGGTTTGACTTGATCATTTGGCAGCCGGTGGTGTAATCAGTAGGAGTATCAGGCTGAGGGAGGCTAGCTCCTTTCTTTGCTAGAGCATCAGCTTTTTCATTTCCCGGTATTCCAAGGTGGGCAGGAATCCATTGTAGGACTACTCTGACTTGGTGCCTACTTATCAAATTATGTTTTAAAATCCTAATTTTTATTACAAAGAAATTGTTGTCAGTTGCCAATTTAAATTTTAGGAGAGAGATACTTTTGTCAGTGGGCTTCTGAAGCAAAATGTGCATGTAGGTAAATAAACCATGTATGTTCTGTTACACCTCAGCACTTGTCGTTTGATCCCCCCACCTGGGCAGTGCCACTGACTGAAGTGTCTTTAGGCCATTCCTAAAGGTAGGATTACCATGTACTTATGCACAGTAGAATTGAAAATGGGCGGATTTGTCAATGTCATGCTTATACTGTGACGGAAAAACACAGGGGGATGTACTGCTTTTTCTTTCCTCATCCTTACTATCGTCCTTTTCCCTCTACTTCTTTTGTATGTTTGTCACTCTTACTTACTTACTTGTCCTTACTTGTCCACTGTGTTGGGGTCACTGCAGTCGGAACATGTCCATCTCTGCTGTTCACTCTTGTGAACTGCTAATTCTGGGGTGCCTTGATAGTCGAAGCAGACTTTGTGCTGTTGAGGCTAGAGAGGTGAGTAAAGTAAGCCTGATTCCCCATTTGGACTGCTCTGTTGACATCCGTCCCTTGGCGCTCATATGACCTTATGCAGTTATGAGCGCCGTAAAACCTTACTAAATTTAAAACTTGTAGTTTGAGGTAGACAGAACGTTTTCTCTTTGATGAATTGACCAAAAATTGCATTTCTATTCTTTTAACCCAAATCGCTTATTACAATAAATGTAAATTTAAGATGTTGAATATAAAGAACAAAATGGAAATAAAGTGTATATTAAAGTCACATTTTCAGATTTAGAGAAAATCAATGTTTAAGATAAAACACTCTGAAATTTTGTATCTGCTTTCAAAAAAGATCCCTAACTGAAGACTGAGACCATTGATTGGTATGAAAATTTGTGAGAGTAAACCATAAGAGTAGTGTGCATGATAAAGGCAGTAAGTCAAGAATTTCAAGTTTTTGTCTTTGCTTCTTGTTTTTCAGTTTGTTGATTACCAAGTGAGGAGTCCGTGGTAAAAGCGGGAATGGTCATAAACTTAAGATTGTGAGGGTATCAATTTTGAACGCATGTTGACTCATAACTGTATTTCTGTTCAACTGTTGGTTGATTATATATTGTTGTTAGATTTCCCATTCAACAAACATAACAATAAACCACCAATCAAACAAATATGAAACTTTGAGTCCCCGAGCTTTTAAAATTGGCACCCTCACAATTTCCAGTTTGTGACTATGCCCGTTTTTCCCTGTGGACTCCTCAAGTGTAAACCAAAGTACGATGCAGGTTCTCTATGACATCCTTAAAATTACACGTACTGTGGTGTAGTTGACAAGTTTCAATGTATATAATACATATATATATATATATGTATATATATATATATATATATATATATATATATATATATATATATATATATAATATATATATTATTGTCCTTATGACCTGGAGTTGTATCACTCTCTACCTGTACCGTCCGGTACAAAAGGCTGAGAGCAGACGATGCCACGCTTGCCTGTCCCTCAAGTTGTGCTTGCCTGTCCCTCAAGTTGCACTCTAAATGAATAATTGAAGCTGTTATGCTAATTGTGTGTGCTAAGCTATTCCAGCATATGAAAGATTGCATTTCCTGTTGGTGAGCAGTGCATTCACTTGTTACAAGACAATTGTGCTGATGTGTATAAGTTGATAAAGTCAGGTAAAGGAGCTTTTAGTTTTGTGACTTTTCCCCCCCTTGCAATTCTGGTGATTTTAAGCCTTTTTTGTCATAGTTGGGCCTTTTTATAGAGGACTCATTGTGGTCTCCTATGTCAGGACATCAGAATGAAATGGAGTTCCCCTCCCCCCCCCCCCCTCCCCATCATCATACTTTTGCTTGAGGACTTGAGGTCTATCCTAAGCCTCCTACATTATCAACATTGTGGGAAAAAAATATATGGTGAAATGGCATAGGTCTAACACCCCCCCCCCCCCATCAATGCATTACGTTATTTAAGAGAAAGGACCTCCGAGTTTAATGTCCGTCTCCGAAAGGACCTAGCCAAATGGGCAATTTGTGCGAAGTGCCTTTCCCAAGGACACTCCATCGGACCAAGCTGAGGCTCGAACCCTTGAACCCGCAGTCTCACAATTGCGGGTATAGTAGTCACAAGCTACCAATGCCACGATCAACATTATGTTGATGAGGAAAGGAGATATTCATTATACAAGCTAGCTTAAGATGATATTCCACCAACCATTTATTTATGTTGAAGCTTGAATTGTGTCCAGTTGTGGGTTTCAAGATAATGTTATCACTCTCAGGAAGAACAAATACAATACGAGTTGGAATGTTGTTGTTGTGGTTTTTTTATTTTTCAAACAATACTTTAATTTTATACAATAAAAGCATCATGTCAAGAAATTGTGAGGCAGCGTGGTGGAATCAGGCTCTGTCAAAATAATCCAAATGAAGAAACTTGCTTTTTTTCCCGCTGATTTGTGAATTTTTATGGAATTTTATTTTTGGCTCCACACCTTTCATGCCCATTAAAGAACTCATTTCTGTGTGAATTTTTTGGAAAAACAATGATTAAAGGCACTAAAAAAAAGTAAATTTTCAGTTACCACGGACTCTTGAGCTAAGGAAATAATTAATCTATGGCCCCTACCTCCCTCGTTTGCAAATATCTCGACTTGTATTCAAGATAAATGGATATATTTTTCATACAAATAAAGAAAAGTGAACAAGCTTTAAGATGATACCAATAACTCTACATGCCCAAAAATTGACGAGAGCCTGATTCCACCTCGCTGCCTCACAATTTGTCTTTTACTACTGTTAGTGAAATCTTTTAAAAGAAATGATGATGCATGTGAAGGGTGTAATAAAATGAATCAGTAGAGAACAAAAATACATTTGATAATGTGCGAGCAAACATGGTGTAAATTTCGACCCGAATTTGAAGCCAGGCCGATTTCAGAGTCCATCAATGATATCCGTCGTTTCCATAGCCGTAACCGTAACCTTTGGTTTGGTGGTACGTAACCTTGGCCTTGCCCCCGTAGCCATAATCTCCGTATCCGGATGAAGAACCACCATGGCCGTAACCAGAGCCGTAAGAATCGCCATGACCGTATCCGGAATCGCCATGACCATAGGAATCGTGACCATATGAGTCGTCATGTCCGTAGGAATCGTAACCATATGAGTCGTCATGTCCGTAGGAATCGTCATGGCCGTAAGAATCGTGACCGTAAGAATCGTCGTGTCCGTAAGAGTCGTCGCCGTAAGAATCGTGACCATAAGAATCGCCGTGTCCGTAAGAATCGTCATGTCCGTAGCCACCGATGTTGTAGTACTTAGGCAGGTAAACAAATCGACGCACCGCGTAACTAGATGGAAGAAAGTAAGAAATAACGAATTTTGTTAGTGTAATTTTGTAATACGATGAAAAGGCTTAGGTTAATAAAGACACATGGGATGATGCGCTAAACAAACCCCTGAAACCTAGGGCTGGGCAATGAGTCGCTTTAGCAAAATCCGGATACTATGTTAGTGCACCTCTTCGGCAAATAATATGACGTGAACCGCTTCGGCAAATGGGTTAGAACCACTTCGACAAACGGGTTAGCACTACTTCAACAAATGGGTTCACCCACTTCGGCAAATGGGTCAGGAAAGAGAGTTAAGAGTCTGAATTCGGTTAATGTTTCATTGAGGATTATCCGGTTATCCTTTTATAGATTATCCGGATTTTGCCCACCTCTACTGAAACCTTCCTGTGCCCGTTCTTCTAAAGATCTTTTTGTGTTTAGTAGGGCATTAAACTCTTACCAAAAAAGAAGAGAAAAGAGGAATTTTCTCTTCAGCCGAGAACAAGAAAACAACCTGAAAACGAGGTTGGGGTTGGAGTTCAGTGAACTATTTCAGGATACAGGGGAGAGTGTGTAAGTGAATGCACGGGTGTGAGCATCTGTGCCCTTATGGGAATATAAGAATTTGTGTGTGCGTGTGTGTGTGTGTGTGTGTGTGTGTGTGTGTGT